CTTTCTCTTCCCTATCTTAGACTATTCTGTCCCATTTTAACTCTTCTTTCTGCTTGTTTCCTTCTTTCCTCACAGCATCTGCCTTCCCACAGATTGTGAGACAAGAGTCTTAGGGGCAGCAGTGCCCACTACACGAATCATCACCCAAGAATGGAGTTGCCTTCCTAACATGGGGCATTGGCCCTCTGGTTATAACCCTACATGGGTAACTACTACATTTCCAAGAGGTAAAATGTATATAAAATCTTTGACTTGTCCTTGTGTGTGGACTTTACAGATATCCTTCAGATTTCTTATGTTTCTATTTCTATGCCACCAAAATGATTCATGTCATGACACTAATACATAGAAGATCGTTATAAATTCTAACTTCTGACAGCATTTAATCTTGATCTTTCCAGATCCATATTGTTCTTGTTTGTTTTTACAATACAGAAACCAGAGTTTAGACTAAAGTAAAAGTAGTTAAGGGGCTGGTGTTGTGGGATAGTAGGCTAAGTCTCCGCCTGCAGTGCCTGCATACCATATGGGTGCTGCTTCTAGTCCCAGTTGCTCCTCTTCTGATCCAGTTCTCTGCTATGGTCTGGGAAAGCAGCAGATGGCCCAAGCACTTAGTGCCCTGCACCTATGTGGGGGACCTGGAAGAAGCTCTTGGTTCTTGGCTTCAGATCGGCTTAGCTCTGGCTGTTGCGGCCATCTGGGAACTGAACCAGTGTATGGAAGACCTTCTTCTCTGTCTCTCCATGACTCTGTAACTCTGCCTCTCAACTAAATAAATAAAATCTTTGAAAAAAATAGTTAAATGTGAGAAAATCCTTGAAACCGGAAGATGATACATCACTGGGCGCAGGTGAGACTAAGCTTGCGTGAGTTCCATGAAGACAAGTAATGAAAAGCAGTAATAAGGAGCTTTGCCTGGTACCCTCCTGACTCCATTAATCTTAAGCAAATCTTAATGGCTTAGACCATCTTTCTCTAGGAACACCCTTTTGCTCTGTTGTCACTGTTTTTCCAAATGTTTATTTAGTCTTGGCTTGGGGAGGCTGTTCTTAGGAAATGTGGGGAAAAGATGCATCCATTGCAGAACCTTGCAATTTTGGAGTCACACACAGCAGTTGTGAAACACCTGACTCAGTTTCCTTATTTTATCCACCGCAAGCCCACAGTTGAGCGGTGCAGAAAGAGAAACTTCTGTGAAGATGGACCCTTTCTCCTGTCCAGTGTGGTAGCCACTAACCACATGTAGTTTTTCTATACTCAAATGTGATTAGTGAGGAACCAAATTTTAAAATTTAACTTCAAATTTAAATAGTCAAATCTGGATAGAGGCAACCATATTTTGGACAGAGCAGGTCTAGATATTTTCTTATTCTGTGCCCTTTGTCACATAGCTTTTAGTGGAAGAATTTGCCAGGCTCAGTTCATGGATTATGACTGGTTTCCAGATACTGGAATAAACAACCCAATCAAGCAAAGTAAGGGTAACTAAGGTTATATAAGAGAAGTGCCAGCTGCTTTGGCAATGACAAGCAAAACAGAGCTACCAGAGCTTGTAGTAGACGAGGAAGATGGGTATGCTATCATCATCTTATAATATGGGTATTTCAAATAGAGTGCCAACACTAATGCAAAATAAAGGAAGTGTGCATGTGTTACTGATTTAATCCAGACAACAAAAATGATATAGGACCGCACAAATTGTGGGGAGGGGAGGGGCTGGCGTTGTGGTGTACAGGATTAAGCTGCTACTTCTGATGCTGGTATCTCATATGAGAGTGCCAGTTTGAATCCTGACTATACCACTTCTAATCTAGTTTCCTGAAAATGCACCTGGGATGGCTGCTGAAGTACTTGTTCAAGTACTTGAGTCCCCGTCACCCAGATGGGAGACCTGGATGGGAGTTCCTGGCTCTTGGCTTAAAGCTAGCCCACCCCTGACTGTTGCTGGCATCTGGGGAGTCAACCCATATATGGAAGGTCTCTGTCTATCTCTCTCTCTCTGTTGCTCTGCCTTTCAAATAAATAAATTCTTTAAAAAATTGGACAAGTTAAGGTAGAGTGGTATAAGATACTAAATTTATCTTGAAAGGAATTTAATAGATGGTATACTAAAGTGAACAAATTAAAGAGCAATGTTGCCTTAATATCCAAAAAAAAAAAAAAATCTGTGAGTCAAAGATGTCAAAGCTGTTGTCTAAGTGAAATGAGACAGTAAGAAATGAGAAATGATGAGTTAATATTTTCTGTAATTTTTACTATTTTTGGCCATGTTTTTGTTTCTTATTTCTTTTAATAAATAAAAGCAATTTCTATGAGCTCCATGAGTTTGAAATTAAGGAAGAAAATAAGCTTACAAGAAATAATTTTTTAAGTGGAAGGATGCTTGAAACAACACTTAAGGCCCAATTAAGTCCATCAGTGCTTTTCTCATGTATTTTTCTAGACAGATAAAAATATTTACCCACAGAATCATTTGTATTTGTCTACTATATAAAGCCAGTAATTTTGTCTGACAGTCTCAACCTCTAGCTGCATTAAGTTGCGTCTCCTAAACAATTATTCAATGAAATCAAAATAAGAAAATTAGGCTTGATATTACACAAATTCAAACTCATAATACCCTCCAGTCAGAAAACAAGAAACTTGGCCAGCGCCGTGGCTCACTGGGCTAATCCTCCGCCTTGCAGTGCGGGCACACTGGGTTCTAGTCCCAGTCGGGGCGCCGGCTTTTGTCCCGATTGCCCCTCTTCCAAACCAGCTCTCTGCTGTGGCCTGGGAGTGCAGTGGAGGATGGCCCAAGTGCTTGGGCCCTGCACCCCATGAGAGACCAGGAGAAGTACCTGGCTCCTGCCATCGGATCAGTGCGGTGTGTCGGCCACAGCGCACCAGCCGCGGTGGCCATTGGAGGGTGAACCAATGGCAAAAGGAAGACCTTTCTCTCTGTCTCTCTCTCTCACTGTCCACTCTGCCTGTCAAAAAAATAAATAAAATAAAAAATAAATTAATTAAAAAATAATAATTAAAAAAGAAAACAAGAAACTTAAAATGCATATCTGGTGCTGCCTACTGGAATGCACATGGCAAAGCATTCATGTACTCTGCCCAAGCTCTTTGTCACACACATTGAGAATGACTGGGGTGGGGCCAAGAGGGACATCATTTATGTGCGTGAGGGTAAACAAGACAGAGCTGCCTAGGCAATTAAAGTTCATAGTTGACGTAAGTGTTGAAAATCATAGACATCAGGCTGAGGTTTGAAGATTAGCACTTGACCTGATGCACAATAAAGGGCTAGCCTCAGACTGTGACAAGTCCGTAGAACCTAACAAGGCATGATCAGCTGGGCACAGGGTTCATAGGCTGGCAAGACCAGAGTGAAGATTGATCAAACTAAACAACAAGCAGGTAGAAAGAGCTTGCCCCACATAATCAGAGTGAATAAATCCACCCCTGCGCTGCAGGAACTAACTCTGAGTTTACATTGGAGAAGGGGTAGTGGGACACAAATGCAGTACAACATCAAATGACCCCCTGCACAATCAATACTGGCTTTCTTTCAGTCAGGTAGTACTCTAGGTGTGATGATGAATTGATTCTTAAGTATTCCTTTTCCTTGTCTCCATTTTTAGATCTCCTTTCTAAATTTCATAACGAGTCATTTAGTGTTTTTAAATGTACTCCAGATATTAAGCTTCCTTAACAATCATTATCCCCTCTGTGGTTTGAAATGCTTGGATGGTTCTCTCCAACCAGGCCAAAGAGCATCCCGTTTCCCTACTGGAAACGAACTCCGGGGGCAGTCGGGTGCCCAGCTGCTCTATGCCTGAGGGGCCTGGGAAGGAAAATGATCAACTCTGAATCCTTCCTCCCTAAGTGATTGTAGGCTTCCAGTCTCAGCAAACCAGTGTGCAGCACATGCCCCTACTGAACCTTTCTCTGAATCCCTGATCCCATATTCCTTGTTAAGAATTCCTAAGGAAACTCTGAACTAATCCTATATTGCTGGCGGAGAGTAGAGGATTAAGACTACCTCGATCTCATCAGTTTCTGTGGATACTTCCTACTGAGCGTGGATGAGTGTAGCTCTTCCTTCCAGAAATCTGCTAGCTTTTATTTCAAGACTAATATTCTTGAAGTATACCCAGAGTCGCGGTGGGTGTCCTAATTATGTCAACATTGATTACACAGGACATTCCTGCAAACTGTCTTTGTTTGCTCAGACTGCCGTAACAAAACACCATAGACTGGGTGGCTAAAACAACAGAAATTATTTTCTCACAGTCTGGAAACAGGGAAGTGCAAGGTCAAGGTGGTGGCAGATAGGGTTCTAGTGATGTCTCTTTTTCTAGTTTGGAGGAGGCTAAGCTCTCACTGTATCACTGTGTCCTTTCTCACTGTATGCACACTGAGGAAAGAGATCGGTTTCTCTTCTCTCCTTATAAAACCACTAAGCCCATCAAGATCCCCATCTTCATGGCTTTATCTAATCTGGATTACCTCCCATAACCCATCTTTCAAAATACCTTCACATTAGGGCATTGGCAAGTGAATTTGGGTGAGGGGAGCACAAACAAATACTTCAGTTCACGATAATCCATCCCTGCCTCATCCATATCTCTCATGCAAAATATGTTAATTTCATCCCAACAGTCCTTAAATGTTTAAAATTATTTCAGCATTTGCTTTAAAGTGTAAAGTCCAAAATCTCATCTAAAGAATATCTAAATCAGATACGGGTGCTCTGTGGAGGTATGATTCATCCTGCGGCAAATTTTCTCTGCAGCCGTGAACCTGTGAAACCAGACAAGTTATATGCACCCTAAATACAGTAGTGAGACAGGCAATATATAGAAACTCTCATATCCAAAAGTAAGAATTAGGAAAGAAGGAAAGCTCGTGGGCAAGAGGCAAGCAAAGCAAATTACATCAGATCTTACAGAGTGAGAATCATCTTCTCTGGTTTAATGCTCTATCCCAAGCCCATGTGTCAGCAGTCCTACCTTCCATACACATTGCTTTGGCCCCAAGGGTTTGCTGAGAAGTCTGGCTTCCAAGGTTTGAGCGAGCTTGTTCCCAAAGCTCCCAGTGACCCTGCTCCTAAGGCTCTCTGTTGCAGCGGCATGGCCTCTCAAAAATGGAATGTGGTCAGTCCTATGACTTCTGACCCCTTCAGAGCCATTCTCCTTTTCCTGAAGGATCACCTGATGGGCACAAAGAGCCGTGTGGTTTGGTATTATGGATACCAAGACGTCCGGCAGGTTCCCTTCACTCCATCTCACTTTCACTGTGCTCTCTTCAGTTCAAATTAGCAATGTCTTTGCTGGTATAATCCCACCTCTGTTCCTGCATTTTCCCAAGATAGCTGATAAAGTTCAAGCATGGAACCCAAAATATTCCTTATCCAATGACTGTGCAGTCACACCTTTGGTGTTCTCTATTTAGAACAAGCTTTCTTTTATTTTGCAATTTAGATAGGCAGAAAATGTTCCATGCCTTCAAGTTCTGGCTTCCTTTTGCTTAATTAATGTGCATTCAATTCATTCTTTTCCTTTTACATTGACTACAGGGACTAAGGGAGGGTTCAATCAGTAACTTCAAAACTTAGCTTAAAAATCTACTTTGCTAAATACACAATTTCACTGCTAAAGGTTCTACCATTCACAGAACACTCGAAAGAACTTGGCTCAGACAAATCCTTTGTTACTTTATGACAAGGACTACTTTTCATCTAGTTCCAAATAACATATTTCTCATTTCCGTCGGAGACATCACTAGAATTGTCTTTGACATCCATATTTCTGGCAGGCACCTCCAAATTCTTCCAGACTCCTTCCTAGACTCAGTTCCAAAGTTGTTTCTACATTTTGAGCCATTTGTTATAGCAGCACCCCACTTCCTAGTATCAAAAATTGTCTTAGTTTTCCCAGGTTTTCATAGCATAATACTATAGACTTGTTTGCTTAAACAACGGAGATTATTTTCCCTCGGTTCTGGAGGCTAGGAAGTGCAAGTCAAGGTGCCACCTCACTGAGCCTCTAGTGAGGGTTCTGCCCTGGCTTCTAGATGGCTCTCTGCTTGTATCTCCTTGAACAACCTTTCCCGAGTGCTGTCATGTGCATGGAGAAGATCTGTCCCTCTCGTTGTTCCTCTGAAGATACCAATCCTGTCATGCGGACACAATCCTCATGATTTCATTTAATCCTAATTACCTCCCAAAGACCTTGCCTACAAATACAATTGCCCTGGGATTTGGGGCTTCGACACATACGAGGAGGATACGAACGTTGAGGTGATAATACTGACTTTGTATGAATAAGATTATGTTCCTTGCTCACAGATCTGGCTACCTAAGGGTGGATGAAAAGCATGTTTCCTTAATTTATTGTCCAACCTTCTTATTAGGTTAATACATCCATCTTGATGGTTTTCCCCCTACTGCTCTGTGTGTGAATGTTTGACCTTGGATCACATCCATAGTAGATGTAGCATATTGTCTTCTACGCAACATAATGTATGAGTGTGATCGCTCATAACTTCTGTAAGGTACCTTCCACCTCAAACCTAGCACATGTTTTTTTTTTCTTCCACTCAATCACATGAGTCAGGTAGTACATGGATCTCCTCCATTTCTTGTACAGGACCAGAACTCAAATGTACTTGACAGGTACATGCTGCTTCTGATGAGAAAGCCCTTGAATGTGGTGCTGTCGTGGGGACAGCCCGTCTCAGGTCTCATATTAGCTCTGAATCTCATGTCTTGTATTAACTCTCTGCCTAATATAGTCTCTGGCACTCTGTTTGCTTACCTCCTGGCATTGTAACATTTAGTGTTTGACCATTTAGAGGCTGATCTGACCCAAGCACAAAGCAATCTGACAGTTAAGTTCTTTCATGCTATCTTGCATGTCTTCTCTGAGTTGACCTGAAGAAAATTCAGCACTGAATCGATTCTATAATTGTTAATGTGCTGAGGAGCAGCTGTGTGCATCTTCAAAAATCAGGTGAGAGAGACTTCCAGCTGGTTAGGACTTCAACAGAAAAATGCAAAGCTTAATCATGGACCTGTGACAAAGATAGCTCGCATAGCTCTTTGTTGGTTAAAGGAAAACACTGAATGGGGTGGGTTTTATAAAAATCTAGATATGCAGGAAGCAGATGAGAGAGGTGGGGGGAAAGAGATGGGCATAAAATTAGAGACCAATTGATTTCTATAAATATTTTTATTTAACAATATAGGAGATATAGAGATTCCTTGTTCCCTCTTCTACTGAATCTCACTCTCATATCATACCCAATTTAGAATTAATTATTGGTCATTCACTGCATATGTACACTTCATCTTTCTTTGTAGCATCTGTGAACTTGTGATATGCCATAGATGAACTTGAAAGAGCACATGTAATTCGGGGAAGTTCATGGGATATTTACAATCAAGGAGCAACTTGGAGTCAAGAAATTCTTATTCCACTGTAAACCCTTTACTTAATGATGATATATAAATTATTTAATCTTTCAGGACTTAATATTGAGGTTTGACTAAATAATACCTGAAGAATTCCAGAAGTTCCAATAAAACCTATTCTATTGTATTTTATTCTCTTCTTTATTGTACTTACAGTTGACCAGATATGGGAAAATCATATAATTTATCATCCAAACCAGGACATCTTTGACAGCCTCCAAAACCAGAATGATATATAGCTCATTCAACAGTTGACATTTTAAGTGCTTGGAAGACCACAAAGGGAGAGAGGATATAACTTTACTAACGTTCTCATGGACTTTGGAAATAAAAAATGCTTTGAAAGTAGTGAAAACTTTATGTACATGCATGTTCTCACATCCACATTCCCGGGCATGATGGTTCTGGGAGCTGTGTCTGAAGTTATCATTCAAGTGAGCCGCTTGCTAAGATCCACCTTAGACCCTTACTTGCTCCCACCCACCCATGAAGATGAAAGTCTCCCCTCAGGACTCCCATCTGTCTAGTGCAAACTTCTGTTCCAGTATTCAGTGCAAGGTCACATAATTGTTGGTTCCACTTCTTCTTTCTCCATTATAGTACAGGAATAATCCGGCTCACTTTTTTCCATTGCTGCAGCCCATGGGCTGCAGGGCTGAGACTAGGAGCAGATGAGTGACACACAACTCTGACAGTGAGTCCCTTCCTACATTTTGTACCCTTGGTGCCTCTTTGCCTCACACTGCTTCAGGTCCTGATGGGCCAAGTACTAGGCCTGTAACAGACTTCTAGTGATGTCAGTGACACGAGAAAGTACTGTACTTTGGAGGCAGGCTTTGTTTTAATATGTAAGGTTCGGTATTATTTAGGTATGATGAGGCCAACTGACCAAGAAACAATTCTTATTAAAAAATGATAAAAAGGCAGTTTGCTACTTACAGTTCCCAAGAGGAGAGGGCATCATGCCAGACCCTGCAGGTGCCACTTGGGGAAACCCAGACTCAGACGGCAGAAGGAGCAAGGGGAAATGTGGACGAAAGACGGTTTTGTAGTTTCCACAGGAAGGAATAGGTAGTAGGGTAAGCAGGTGTAGGATTAGCCGGTTTGAAAACTTCCAGTTGGCTTAGAGATAATGTAAGGAGCTGATTCTAGTGAACTGGTACTCAGGGGTGGTTAGGGCAGGATGGTGGTAGCCTTGAGAGCACCTGGTAGAGGAGGTAGTTGGGGAATGGGCTTTGGATTGACAGCTGTGCATATGAAAAATACATTTGTACACAGGTCTTTTACTATCTCTAGGGATTGACTGGCTCTGGTAAGGGCAGTCCCTCCAGGTTAGCAAGTCCCCAAGATATTAAGATATCAGAGCCGGCGCCGCGGCTCACTAAGCTAATCCTCCGCCTTGCGGTGCCGGCACACCGGGTTCTAGTCCCTGTCGGGGCGCCGGATTCTGTCCCGGTTGCCCCTCTTCCAGGCCAGCTCTCTGCTGTGGCCAGGGAGTGCAGTGGAGGATGGCCCAAGTGCTTGGGCCCTGCACCCCATGGGAGACCAGGAGAAGCTGGCTCCTGCCATCGGATCAGCACGGTGCGCCGGCCGCCGCGCACCAGCCGTGACGGCCATTGGAGGGTGAACCAATGGCAAAGGAAGACCTTTCTCTCTGTCTCTCTCTCTCACTGTCCACTCTGCCTGTCCAAAAAAAAAAAAAAAGATATCAGAATAAAAAGTCACTCAACAGACATATTTGTCGACTTTGCTTTGCTTTAACTAAAATACCTGAGAGGAGTTTCTTGGGAAGGACTAGGTTTATTTCAGTTTACAACTTGGAGGTTCACAGTTGAAAATCAGTTGGCCTCAGTAACCTGGCACCTGATGGAGGTTGGTAATAGTGGAGAGTGTGCTGAAGAGTGTTCACATGGTGGGTCAGGAAGCAGAGAGAGAAGCTAGGTCAAATTCAGCTTACACAATCAACGCTCACGCGAGAACTATCTTCTACGGGGAAACCCCCAGTGACATGTAGATCTCCCATTGTCCCCACCCGATCCATCAACCATTAGCATTAACCCACTGACTATTCACATGAGTCTTTGTGTTTATTACATCTACATAAATTTGGGGGAGCCAAGGCTTACTCAATTTGTAGCAACAGGCTTTCCTATATTTGAATTTGCATAATGCTATACAAGCCTCATTGCCAACCACTCAGATATTTGTTAGGCAAATAAATCTCTTTTATAATGTAATAACTTCACTATGTTGTTATGTGGGTTACTGCAAAGGGCCTGGTATGTAGTAGGTGTACAATGGATGACAGACATTAGTCAAATATTACAATAGGCATAGAATATTGATAAAGTGGCATATACACACCGGACACTTACGCACATGTGAATAGAAAAAAATCCTGGGCAATACATATCTCAGTTTCTGTGGAGGGAGGGCTTCATTGTTGTTTTGAAAAATGGCCTCCACTTTGGACACTCTTTTGGATATTATGCTACATAATCCTGCAAAAAAGACCAGCTGCTTCTAAAAACTTGAGCCTCTATTGAGGCTACTGAATCTTCGTCCTTTGAGCAAAACTAAAAATAACCCAACTGCCTGCCTTCTCTGGGGATGATGGTCTGACAGGTTTCTCATAAGTCTGGAGATACAGGGAAGCATGCCTGTGTGTCCCCAAAGAAAGTTTCCAGATCTTTCCAGCACTTGAAAGTAGTTAGTTTTGGCTGTCTTGCAAGTTTCAGAGGAAGCTCTCCCTAACCTGGTACGGTGACAGCAGCAGCTTCTTCCAATATCAGGCAGGATTTTTTTTTTTTTACTAGCATTTGTGCACATTAAAGAGAGGTCCCAAATACAGCGTACAGAAGCAGCAATGGACAAAGGA